AACCAGTTAAGTCAGCTTCTGAAACTGAAGCGTGCGTATCTTTCTTTAAGAACCCACCACTTCATAAATGATTTGTGAAGTGTTTTCCAGACTTACACTGCTTTTCACTCAGAAAATCTCTTTTCAGATAGTTGATTCCTAAATTGCTAAAGTTCTTACTCTGCAATAACTTTTGCTTCTTCCCTATGTTTATCTTGACCTAGTGTATGCAGGCCTTGTTATATTAAAATAGCACATCAAAAAAACATGGTTGGTCCTACGTGTCTGGACAACAGCATGAATTTCTCATCATCTTATGGGCCTGACTTAAGGTTAAAATCTACAGCTTTGTTATTTCAAGTGGCTTGCTGCATATTAGAAATAGAATTAGAGCCAAGATTAGCTACTCAGTTGAGTTTATTTTTGGTAATTCTTCTAATACAGAAATGTGATTTGAATTTAAAATTTGGAGCTAAAGTGGGGGGTTGTTTTTATCTAACATGGCCAGTGCTGTCTTAGATGCAAGACCAGGACAAATGTTTTCATGGTTATTGGCTGGGGTTTGGGGGGTTTTTTGTGTGTGTGTTTTTAAGGGTATTCCCCTACTGCTTTTGCAGTGCCAGTAACGGTGTAATGCTGACGATGAAACTGACTTTCCTGATGTTCTTCCCTTTCATTTTTTTCTATGTGCATTTATGAAGGAATTATCTTCAAGATAATTGTAAAGTAGTCTAAAAATCTTGAAATCGCCAGTTAATGGAGCAATTAAAGTTAGGATATCCCAGCCTACTTTGAAAAGAAAATTGAATACTTAAAACTTTGAATTTTATGCAAGCTGATAGTGGGAGTATAGGCTTCAGTTCTGCAAATTGCTTCATTTGAGTGGAAGACTTGTAGGTCGGAGTTAACTGTTAGTACATCTTCCCAGTATTATCATATCGTGTTCTCTTTTCTTGACAGTGCTATGAGTCTGTGATAAGCAGGACAGTGAGTTCTTAAAGTTTAATCCTGGAACAGAGAGCTGGATAATCCAAGTTTTCAGCTGGATCAGAACAAAACAAGCATTGAGCTTCTCTGCCTCTGAAATGTGCTTTGCTCCTAAAACTGCATTTCCTTATATATTAAGGCAGTTGCGTAACGTTGGCAGAGCAGTTATGCTG